TGTATCAGTGTGGATGACGGATCACCACCTCAAGCTGAACCTCGGCAAGACGGAGCTGCTCTTCCTCCCGGGGAAGGACTGCCCGTTCCATGATTTCGCCATCACGGTTGACAACTCCGTTGTGTCCTCCTCCCAGAGTGCAAAGAGCCTTGGTGTGACGCTGGACAACACCCTGTCGTTCTCCGCTAACATCAAGGCGGTGAAACGATCCTGTAGGTTCATGCTCTACAACATTCGCAGAGTACGACCCTGCCTTACACAGGAAGCGGCACAGGTCCTAATCCAGGCACTTGTCATCTCCCGTCTGGATTACTGCAACTCACTGTTGGTTGGGCTCCCTGCCTGTGCCATTACACCCCTACAACTCATCAGAATGCCGCAGCCCATCTGGTGTTCAACCTTCCCAAGTTCTCTCACGTCACCCCGCTCCTCCGCACACTCCACGGTTTGGCCTACAAATATGACTCTATGGAAAGATGAGACTCTGACTCTCACGATGGTGTTCTCCATTTTGCTCTACATCCCCCACAAGTGTCACAGGACTCGTCTGAAGGTAACTGGTACCGGTTTATAGAAATTAATAGAAGTATGGAGGTCGTTTTGTGCCTACCCCAAAAAAAGGGATTAAATGTGTAAAAAAATGATATATTTCCTGAGCTTTCTTATATCTCCTAGATATAGGACAGACACTTTAAATTATTTTGATTTTGATTTCCTTTTTGACCTTTTTTTTTGCCATTTATGAATGTGTTATTCAATGCGTTTCTATGGGCTATAGTAGAAAAGGTAAAATTCTATATTTGATCAAATGATTCTTTTATATATTTTTTTTATACCTTAAGGGGTCCCAAAATTCTAAATTAAATAGCTAAATGACCATCTTTAAACAATTCCATATGTCAGCTTAGAACTCCAAATAATCTAAAATTGTTTAAAATTGATTGTGTAGCTTAATCAATTTACTTTAAGATGATTGAGACATGACAAATATTGCAAATATTGTGGATATTGACTTGCATTGGTTTTGTGCAACAAACACTAAAAAGTTAACATTTGGAGATAGTAGCCTGGTAAACAAAACCAAAGCATGGTTTGCTTTATTACCTTGTCCATATTCTGCTTACAGGCTAAGGAAACCATTTTTTAATTTAGCAATTTGGGTGAACTATGCCTTTAACTGGTTCATGATACAGTGGAAAATATATCAATACTATGGCTAGATGAAATGTTGGTAGAAAGCAAGGCCCTTAACACAAATCAATACACATTAAGCAAAATTTTATGCACTAACTGTAAGTCACTCTGGATGAGAATATCTGCTAAAGGACAAAATTGTCAAATGTAAATGTTCAGTATTTTAGTGAGGATGTGTTCTCATCATCACAATAAAAAATATGAATTTCGCTTACGTTGATGACTTTTATCAAATCCAAATCAGTTTTCCATATTGATTCAATGTCATCACATTGAATTATTTTATTCAAATCAAATGTATTTTTTATTTTATTAGTCACATGCGCCGAATACAACAGGTTTAGATCTTACCGTGAAATGATTACTTACAAGCCCAAATCACGTGGAAACAACGTTGATTCAACCAGTTTTTGCCGAGTGGGTTATTACCTTGTCATCTATCGCCCTCCAGGTTCCCTTGGAGAGTTCATCAATGAGCTTGACGCCTTGATAAGTTCCTTTCCTGAGGATGGCTCACCCCTCACAGTTCTGGGGGATTTCAACCTCCCTATGTCCACATTTGACTCATTTCTCTCTGCCTCCTTCTTTCCACTTCTCTCCTCTTTTGACCTCACCCTCTCACCGTCCCCCCCTACTCACAAGGCAGGCAATACGCTTGACCTCATCTTTACTAGATGCTGCTCTTCTACTAATCTCACTGCAACTCCCCTCCATGTCTCCGACCACTACTTTGTTTCCTTTTCTCTCTCGCTCTCCTCCCACACTACTCACTCTGCCCCTACACAGATGGTAATGCGCCGCCGCAACCTTCGCTCTCTCTCTCCCACTACTCTCTCCTCTTCCATCCTATCATCTCTTCCCTCTGCTCAATCCTTCTCCCTCCAATCTCCTGATTCTGCCTCCTCAACCCTCCTCTCCTCCCTTTCTGCATCCTTTGACTCTCTGTGTCCCCTATCCTCCCGGCCGGCTCGGTCCTCCCCTCCAGCTCCGTGGCTTGATGACTCATTGCGAGCTCACAGAACAGAGCTCCGGGCAGCGGAGCGGAAATGGAAGAAAACTAAACTCCCTGCCGACCTGGCATCTTTTCACTCCCTCCTCTCTACATTTTCTTCATCTGTTTCTGCTGCTAAGGCCACTTTCTACCACTCTAAATTCCAAGCATCTGCCTCTAACCCTAGGAAGCTCTTTGCCACATTTTCCTCCCTCCTGAATCCTCCCCCCCCCCCGCCCCCCCCCCTCCTCTCTCTCTGTGGATGACTTCGTCAACCACTTTGAAAAGAAGGTTGATGACATTCGATCCTCGTTTGTTAAGTCTAATGACACTGCTGGTCCTACTCACACTGCCCTACCCTATGCTTTGACTTCTTTCTCCCCTCTCTCTCCAGATAAAATCCTGCGACTTGTGACTGCAGGCCGCCCAACAACCTGCCCGCTTGACCCCATCCCCTCCTCTCTTCTCCAGACCATCTCCGGTGACCTTCTCCCCTACCTCACCTCGCTGATCAACTCATCCTTGACCGCTGGCCATGTCCCTTCCGTCTTCAAGAGAGCGAGAGTTGCTCCCCTTCTCAAGAAACCAACACTCGATCCCACTGATGTCAACAACTACAGACCAGTATCCCTTCTTTGTTTTCTTTCCAAAACTATTGAGCGTGCCGTCTTTAGCCAACTCTCTTGCTATCTCTCTCAGAATGACCTTCTTGATCCAAACCAGTCAGGTTTCAGGACTGGTCATTCAACTGAGACTGCTCTTCTCTGTGTCACGGAGGCTCTCCGCACTGCTAAAGCTAACTCTCTCTCCTCTGCTCTTGTCCTTCTAGACCTGTCTGCTGCCTTTGATACTGTGAACCATCAGATCCTCCTCTCCACCCTCTCCGAGCTGGGCATCTCCGGCGCGGCTCACTCCTGGATTGCGTCCTACCTGACCGGTCGCTCCTACCAAGTGGCGTGGCGAGAAGCTGTCTCCGCACCACGTGCTCTCACCACTGGTGTCCCCCAGGGCTCAGTTCTAGGCCCTCTCCTTTTCTCCCTATACACCAAGTCACTTGGCTCTGTCATATCCTCACATGGCCTCTCCTATCATTGCTACGCTGACGATACACAACTAATCTTCTCCTTTCCCCCTTCTGATAACCAGGTGGCGAATCGCATCTCTGCATGTCTGGCAGACATATCAGTATGGATGACGGATCACCATCTCAAGCTGAACCCTGGCAAGACGGAGCTGCTCTTCCTCCCGGGGAAGGACTGCCCGTTCCATGATCTCGCCATCACGGTTGACAACTCCGCTGTGTCCTCCTCCCAGAGTGCGAAGAGCCTAGGCGTGACCCTGGACAACACCCTGTCGTTCTCCGCCAACATCAAGGCGGTGACCCGCTCCTGCAGGTTCATGCTCTACAACATTCGGAGAGTACGACCCTGCCTTACACAGGAAGCGGCACAGGTCCTAATCCAGGCACTTGTCATCTCCCGTCTGGACTACTGCAACTCGCTGTTGGCTGGCCTCCCTGCCTGTGCCATTAAACCCCTACAACTCATCCAGAATGCCGCAGCCCGTCTGGTGTTCAACCTTCCCAAGTTCTCTCACGTCACCCCCCCTCCTCTGCACACTCCACTGGCTTCCAGTTGAAGCTCGCATCCGCTACAAGACCATGGTGCTTGCCTATGGAGCAGTGAGGGGAACGGCACCTCTGTACCTTCGGGCTCTGATCAGTCCCTACACCCAAACGAGGGCATTGCGTTCATCCACCTCTGGCCTGCTGGCTCCCTTCCTCTGCGGAAGCATAGTTCCCGCTCAGCCCAGTCAAAACTGTTCGCTGCTCTGGCACCCCAATGGTGGAACAAGCTCCCTCACGACGCCAGGACAGCGGAGTCACTCACCACCTTCCGGAGACATTTGAAACCCCACCTCTTTAAGGAATACCTGGGATAGGATAAAGTAATCCTTCTACCACCCCCCCCCCCCCCCCCCCCCAAAAAAAAAATTGTAAAGTGGTTATCCCACTGGCTATAGGGTGAACGCACCAATTGGTGAGTCGCTCTGGATAAGAGCGTACCCGATGCTACATGACGTAAATGTGCCCTTTGAGCTACGGCAATTAACCCTCATTGCTCGTAAGTCGTCTGGATAGAGAGTTGATAAATGACTAAATGATAAATGTAATAACTGTTCAACCATTGATGTATACTCAACCATGGGTATCGCAGCAAGATGCTTTATTTGTAGTGGGCTAGTGAGCACGCCCATTGAAGCACACCTATGTCAGCCATTATTGTTTTGCACATCCTTGAGACAGGAGGAGTCCCCCACTAGGATATTCAACAGTCATCAGTGTTTCCAATCTAAATGTTTTATCTGAAAGGACACAATTACAGCGTACACCTTAAGTTATTTCCTTGTTCAGCTGCTAATCTGTGTGACCCTCTTCGGACAGTAAACACCGAGAGATTTATTCATTTTGTCAAAAGGAATCATCTATATGTTAAAGGAAAAATATATTAACTTTTATATATATATCTTAGTTTTAGCCGTCACATCCTTACATATAATTTAAAAGCATTGAATTTATAGTGAGTCTCTTCCCCCTGTGTAACCTATATCTTTTACAACGCTTGCCACAAACAAATTTGTAAGACTTATTACATGCATTTGTCTATAGCTTCCAAAAATATTTTGAAAGGTGGGTTGGCTGTCTGTCTACGCCAAACCGTGTTGTGCTTCTCATGTTCGTCCGTCTTCTTTCTGACTGTACTTTGTGTGGTTCTTCACGTTTTATGAGGGTTTAACTCTTTTTGTTCGTCTTGGTCTAGGTCCCCGCGTTCTCAATCGCATCTGCTTTTGTTCTGCGTGGGGGTAGTAGTATGCGAGCGTGTCCCCGGTAGGTGGAGGCACCTAAGGTGGAGTGTCTCGCCTGTAGCAGTAAGGGACATAGGAGCATAGGCAGAGAATGAGGAGAGGGAGAGGCTGTTGAGGCGTGGGGTGGAAATGAGGGAAGAGACTCCGACATGGATGGTCGAGATGGTAGCGGTGTAGAGGAATGTGGGGAAGTCCCATATTTTCCATTGCGTCTTTGCGGAGGTTAATAGCATCGGTTGTTGTGTGTGGGAGATTCCGTCGGAGGTTGTTGGGTGGGCAGGTAGCAGGTGCTTAGTTGGGTCCCCCCTTTTTTCCCCCCCCCTTTTAAAAAAAAGAGAGGGAGAAAGGGAGGGTTCCCCCCCCTTCAAAAAAAACACCGTCCCCTGGAAAAAAAACCCAGAGGGTTTTAAAACTAAGCGTTTTTTTTCCCAACCCTTGCTTTTCCCAAAATGTTTTGACCCCCCGTAGGTTTTGGACTTATTAAAATAATTTTTTTTTGTAAAATTAAAGGAAACTAACCCCCTTTTGGGCCTTTTTAAAAAACCGGTTTGTTGGAAAAACCCCCCCCTTTTCTAATGGGCATCTCCGGCGCGGTCACTCCGGGATTGCGTCCACCTGACCGGTCGCTCTACCAAGTGGCGTGGCGAGAAGCTGTCTCCGCCCATGCCTCACCACTGGTGCCCCAGGGCTCAGTTCTAGGCCCTCTCCTTTTCTCCCTATACACCAAGTCACTTGGCTCTGTCATATCCTCACATGGGCCTCTCCTATCATTGCTACGCTGACGATACACAACTAATCTTCTCCTTTCCCCCTTCTGATAACCAGGTGGCGAATCGCATCTCTGCATGTCTGGCAGACATATCAGTATGGATGACGGATCACCATCTCAAGCTGAACCCTGGCAAGACGGAGCTGCTCTTCCTCCCGGGGAAGGACTGCCCGTTCCATGATCTCGCCATCACGGTTGACAACTCCGCTGTGTCCTCCTCCCAGAGTGCGAAGAGCCTAGGCGTGACCCTGGACAACACCCTGTCGTTCTCCGCCAACATCAAGGCGGTGACCCGCTCCTGCAGGTTCATGCTCTACAACATTCGGAGAGTACGACCCTGCCTTACACAGGAAGCGGCACAGGTCCTAATCCAGGCACTTGTCATCTCCCGTCTGGACTACTGCAACTCGCTGTTGGCTGGCCTCCCTGCCTGTGCCATTAACCCCTACAACTCATCCAGAATGCCGCAGCCCGTCTGGTGTTCAACCTTCCCAAGTTCTCTCACGTCACCCCCCTCCTCTGCACACTCCACTGGCTTCCAGTTGAAGCTCGCATCCGCTACAAGACCATGGTGCTTGCCTATGGAGCAGTGGAGGGGAACGGCACCTCTGTACCTTCGGGCTCTGATCAGTCCCTACACCCAAACGAGGGCATTGCGTTCATCCACCTCTGGCCTGCTGGCTCCCCTTCCTCTGCGGAAGCATAGTTCCCGCTCAGCCCAGTCAAAACTGTTCGCTGCTCTGGCACCCCAATGGTGGAACAAGCTCCCTCACGACGCCAGGACAGCGGAGTCACTCACCACCTTCCGGAGACATTTGAAACCCCACCTCTTTAAGGAATACCTGGGATAGGATAAAGTAATCCTTCTACCCCCCCCCCCCCCCCCCCCCCCCCCCCCCAAAAAAAAAATTGTAAAGTGGTTATCCCACTGGCTATAGGGTGAACGCACCAATTGGTGAGTCGCTCTGGATAAGAGCGTCTGCTAAATGACGTAAATGTGCCCTTGAGCAAGGCACTTAACCCTAATTGCTCCTGTAAGTCGCTCTGGATAAGAGCGTCTGCTAAATGACTAAAATGTAAATGTAAATGTACCAGTGATGTATATCAACCCTGGATTGCAGATGCTATGTATTGGCTAGTGAGAGGCATTGAAGCCACCAGTCAGCCATATTGGCACTCCCGAGAAGGAGGAGTCCTCCATAGGAATTCAACAGTATTTCAATTAAATGTTTATGAAAGGACAAAATTACATGTATTTAAGTATTTTTGTCATTGTAAATGGGGACAGTAACACGAGAACTTTCAAAAGGAATCACAGTTAAAGGAAAATATATATATTTATATATATATTTATGTTTAGCTCACATAATATAATTTAAAAGCATGAATTAAGATGGTTGTAATATAATAAACGTGCCAAAACAAATGTAGACATTATTACATGCATTTCTATAGCTTCCAAAATATTTTTTACAATGGTGGGGAGTGCCAAGATGGAGGCATGTGGCTTCAACATAGCGCCCCCTTTCAGTCATCCAGTGTATACTGTGAGGGAAAAAAGTATTTGATCCCCTGCTGATTTTGTTTGCCCACTGACAAAGAAATGATCAGTCTACAATTTTAATGGTAGGTTTATTTGAACAGTGAGAGACAGAATAACAACAAAAAAATCCAGAAAAACACATGTGAAAAATGTTATACATTGATTTGCATTTTAATGAGGGAAATAAGTATTTAACCCCCTCTCAATCAGAAAGATTTCTGGCTCCCAGGTGTCTTTTATACAGGTAACGAGCTGAGATTAGGAGCACACTCCTAAAGGGAGTGCTCCTAATCTCAGTTTGTTACCTGTATAAAAGACACCTGTCCACAGAAGCAATCAATCAATCAGATTCCAAACTCTCCACCATGGCCAGGACCAAAGAGCTCTCCAAGGATGTCAGGGACAAGATTGTAGACCTACACAAGACTGGAATGGGCTACAAGACCATCGGCAAGCAGCTTGGTGAGAAGGTGACAACAGTTGGTGCGATTATTCGCAAATGGAAGAAACACAAAATAACTGTCAATCTCCCTCGGCCTGGGGCTCCATGCAAGATCTCACCTCTTGGAGTTGCAATGATCATGAGAACGGTGAGGAATCAGCCCAGAACTACACGGGAGGATCTTGTCAATGATCTCAAGGCAGCTGGGACCATAGTCACCAAGAAAACAATTGGTAACACACTACGCCATGAAGGACTGTAATCCTGCAGCGCCCGCAAGGTCCCCCTTCTCAAGAAAGCACATATACAGGCCCGTCTGAACTTTGGCATCAACTCAACTCGCCGTGTTTGGAGGAGGAGAAATGCTGCCTATGACCCCAAGAACACCATCCCCACCGTCAAACATGGAGGTGGAAACATTATGCTTTGGGGGTGTTTTTCTGCTAAGGGTACAGGACAACTTCACCACATCAAAGGGACGATGGACGGGCCATGTACCGTCAAATCTTGGGTGAGAACCTCCTTCCCTCAGCCAGGGCATTGAAAATGGGTCGTGGATGGGTATTCCAGCATGACAATGACCCAAAACACACGGCCAAGGCAACAAAGGAGTGGCTCAAGAAGAAGCACATTAAGGTCCTGGAGTGGCCTAGCCAGTCTCCAGACCTTAATCCCATAGAAAATCTGTGGAGGGAGCTGAAGGTTCGAGTTGCCAAACGTCAGCCTCGAATCCTTAATGACTTGGAGAAGATCTGCAAAGAGGAGTGGGACAAAATCCCTCCTTAGATGTGTGCAAACCTGGTGGCCAACTACAAGAAACGTCTGACCTCTGTGATTGCCAACAAGGGTTTTGCCACCAAGTACTAAGTCATGTTTTGCAGAGGGGTCAAATACTTATTTCCCTCATTAAAATGCAAATCAATTTATAACATTACTGACATGCGTTTTTCTTGATTTTTTGTTGTTATTCTGTCTCTCACTGTTCAAATAAACCTACCATTCAAATTATAGACTGATCATGTCTTTGTCAGTGGGCAAACGTACAAAATCAGCAGGGGATCAAATACTTTTTTCCCTCACTGTATATAAATAATTGGTTATTACTTTGTTGCTTGTAAAATAACCACAATTTTGCAAAACAGATCTTTCTCATTTTATTAATTCAACAAGTCATCATGTTTTGTGATCAAGTACCAGCATAAGAATTCATGTATTATTATGAAGATAAAGACAACACATGCCCTATCACCTAAGTATGCTGATTATGAATACGTTCCAGGAGAATTATCACCCGTTATCAGACATCCTCGCTGAAGACATTCTCAAATACTTTACGGAGAGAGACCTTGACAATCTCCTTGAAGTCCTGTCCGATGAACACGTACAGGATAGGGTTGAGGCAGCTGTTGACATAGGCCAGAGAGCGTCCCAGGGGGTACAGAGCCACCACTTCAAAGGACTCTAACCTATACAAAATCAAAAGAACTATGATGTGATACGGCAGCCAGCACACAAAGAATGCTGCCACCACACTCAGAATGACCTGTAAGACCCTCTGTGACTTGAAGCGACCTCTGCTCACCCTCCTGCCGATGAGCAGGTAGCAGACAGCGATGACCAACATGGGAACGAGGAAGCCGAGGACCAGCCTGGAGAAAATTTTGGCTTGCATATGCGAGGAGAAGCTGAAGGAAGAACTGCAGCACCTAATAGGCCCTTTTCACGATGACGTCATCTAACTTCCGCCTTTCCGCGTAGCAGGTTAACTTCACTTCCGTTCGCCCGTAACCTGAGACTTCTCAACGAAAATACAACTGTTGACCACTAACTAGCAAGCTAGCTACTTGAAGAAATTCCAAAAGGTACGTTTAAGTTAAATTAGTAAAGTTAAGAGTAATAATGTTTACCTATATGCAATGGTTTGTAACTTGCTAACGTTATTGTTAATTCATAATTGTTCACTGCCTTAGTTACTTAAAAGTGGGCTAACGTTAGCTAACAACAACTTAGTACCAGATACCGATAACGTTAAAAGGTAGCGTTACATTGCTGCCTGGCTGTAATGTAACAAGTTTACTTAGCTAGCTATCTAACCCTTTGTTAGGCAGTTAGTTTATTCATGAATGTATAGTAACTCACCTATTCAAATACTGTTGTGCATGATAGCTAGATAAATATTGATTCCTGGTCAAAGCTGAATGTTAATTTAGCTGTTTCTTTTCTCCCGGTGTCTGTATCGCAACAGTATCCCATCCAACACCGAAGCATGGCACAATCTTCGAGAAGATGCTATTGCAGTGTACCATTTTGTTCAAACAACAAACAGAAATTCCCGTATCTGAGTTTTCACGATTTCCCTGTTGATGGAGAAATACGTGCCCGTTGGGTGAGGGCGATCAGGAGAGATGAGGGACCAAGTTTTAAGATTCTTCGTGGGAGCACCTTTGTTTGCAGTCAGCACTTTCCCCCTGAGGATAGATACACCCTATTTTATAGGGTGCACTGGTAAGAAAGCACAGACCCAAATGGCACAGGGCCAAATTTAGAGTCCACCAAATTAAGGCCCTCAAGCCCGTGCAGCAATTTGCAAATCCCTGGTTGTGGACGGATGTCTTTCAGTTTCTCAGCACTGTCCATGACGTGAGGATCCGGAATAGGCCCTGGCATGAAAGTGAGATATGTCAAGTTTAGATTTCATTAAATGCCACCTTATCTTTTTCACTAAAAAAGACAACCACACTCATCCAGTCTCGTACATGCTTCTAATACAAATAAAAAAATATCCACTGAAAGTCTATATAAAAAGTAACAAATAATAATCACTTTTATGTTTGTATTATTTTAGAAATGCACTAAAGTCTTTGTGCTCTAGTACAGGCGGGGGCTCATTCAGACTCACCATCATAGGCTCGGTACAGTGTGCACTTCACACCAGCTCTGACACTTGTTTTTTTCTTAGCCGCTGGTTTACACACCGCCATATCATTGGTGGCCTCTGGTACAATTCCCTGTGATATAATAATGATGAACAATACATTGTCAAAAGTCAATACAAACTGCAAAGTTCTGCATCAGTGTAACAAATAATGTCTGACCTGTGTCCTAGGCCGGTGCCAGGTCTGCAGTGCGCTGGTGCATGACAGAGGCAATGGCACTGTCTTAAAGCCCATGGTAACATAGTGAGCACTTTGAAAAAGAAGTGCTACTATGTGATTACATAGTGCTTTCCCAGCAGAGCAGGAACATGACATGTGATTGAGTACCACAGGAACCTCTGCAGAGTCTAGTGTAACCTGTTCATAGAGACATAACAATTAGTGCTGTACTTACAAAACATTTTTTCTGCGTTTCATTATAAACTACTGTACACAATTTTCAAAACCCAATTTCTTTTTTTAATTAAGAAAAATTGGCTGTTCTGAAACCTTTGACAAGTAGTGCCAACACTTATCGAAAATTTGAACATTTTGAGTTATCACAGAATCTTTCCCAGTCTTTATTGCCGTCAACAACCCACATCGGTTTGTAAGAATTTCGTTGTGTATTAAGTTTAATGATACAAAATCAGAGCTCAGACTGAGAAACAAACTGATCCACAGTGGAACTTTGTGGAATCATTCTTATTAAATCTGCAACCGCAGCAAAACACAACAAAAAGAAAACTTATCTATCTTAACCTATCTTATCATAATGTTAGAGAACTGTTTATCTGAGAAACCTGAAGCCGATGAGCCTCCTCATTTTTCTTCATGGACCTGTAACATCGCCCTCTCACTGTCACCTCACCGTTAACTACACTTGAGACTGTTTCAATACAGTGATTGGGAGAAAGGGCGCAGCATTAGCCATTAATACATTACTGACTCTTATCTTACGGTCGATACAAACAGCAGTAATATTAAAAAGAGGCTGCAAAACAGAAACTCGTCAGCTCATAACCTTCGCTAGCATAGGGCTAATTTAAGCTAAATAAAGATAAACACGTACCTTCATAATCAAACAGGTAACCTTCAACGAAGAACTTGTAGCCTTTATCAAGCTTCGATCTTGAAGTAAGGGACCACTTGTCAGCAAGTCGTTCTACGTCGTTAAGTCGTATTGGTGGCAGATGTGAAAGGGACTGGGTGAACTCCATAATGATGTGCTACTAGCTAAGCGTTCCTAAGCGACACCGGATGTAAACATAACCTGCATCGCGGCAGAACGGAAGTTGTCTGACGTCACGTGAAAAGGGCCTATTAAGGTGTCATCAATATTGATGGTCTGATTATGGATCATGTCGGGGAGACTGAGGAGCATGGCCAGGAACCAGGCCAGACCACACTGCAGCCACGCCAGTGTGATTTTCCGGTGGTTCTGGGCCCATACGGGTGTGAAGACGCTGGCGAACATGTTGAGGTACATTACCGAGGGCATAACCTTGCACATAGCCTCTCCGAACGGCCAGTTGAGTTCCAGTTTGATCACAGCTATGCGGAAGGGTATGGAGAAACAGCAGAGGAGGTCTGCTACAGCCAGGTTTACAAACCAGACGGTGTTGACTGTCCTCTTCATCTTCACTCCAGCTATCCAGATGACAAAGGCGTTGCCTGGGATACCGAGGATGCACACGATGCTGTAGATGACAATGGACACCACCCGAATGGGCTGATTTCCCTGCTCCAGTTGATGAGTTTCATTGACCATGTAATAATAGTCATCATAATAGTAATCGTCGTACACTTCTGCGAAATCCTCGTTCATTTTGTACCTAGGGGAGGAATTGTTTGATACTTAATACACACAATTTTCAAATGTTATGTTTCAATTTAACTGAGCATAGCACTGAGTTTTATCAGTGAGGTCATTCTCAGAACCATTCATAATTAATGACAACAGTCTCACTTACATTTTACATTTTAGTCATTTAGCAGACGCTCTTATCCAGAGCGACTTACAGTTTTAGTGAGTGCATGAATTTTTCTATTATACCATGGGAGTATATTAACTGAATTTCAATTCAAATATTAGCACCTTCAATATATTCAGAATGTTGATCCTTAGTTTCTACAGTCATGAAAAAGAGGGGTGTCAAAAAGTAATACAAATAAATAAAACAAATCTGAAAATAGAATCACGGTATCCAAGTATGTTTTCCCAAGTCAATTATTTCAAAGGTGCTACACAAGAATTGTAGGCATACCTGAAATTTTAACAGAAAATGTGCATAAAACTTACGATCTCTCAGATCTTCTTTATTAACCGAGTAACAACAACTTAGTGACATCTGAAAAGTAATTTGTTGTCATTCGAATTTGTAATTTATAATGGAGTGTTGCAAGGATAGCACGTGATCGGAAGAGGCAAAATAGATGTGAGTACGTAACAAGATCAGCCAGTATGATAAATGTATGCACTCACTAACTGTAAGTCACTCTGGATGAGAGCGTCTGCTAAATGACTAAAATGTCAAATGTAAAATATGACTCAAGAACTAGTTTTGAAAGTACCCACTGGGCAAACCACGTAATTTCAACGTGGGTAATTGGGTAATACTTGGTCTAGATGTTGATCAATGAGATTACAACATATATTCACCAACTCAAAAAGACGGGCAAAAGTTAGTTGAATTTCAAATGTGTTAACACTATTCTTTCATCGATGTAAAAGCACACCAAATTCCAATGGAAAAACAATGTCTGATTTTTGCTTTAGTTGCTTCTTTACAGTGCATTATGGAAGTATTCAGAATCCTTGACTTTTTCCACATTTTGTTACGTTACAGCCTTATTCTACAATGGATTAAATTGTTTTCCCCCTCATCAATCTACACACAATACCCCATAATGACAAAGCAAAAACAGGTGTACAAATTAAATATTAATATTATAATTATTATTTAGGATGTCAGTTTTTTCCATTCATGTGAGAATATGCTAGACAAGGGAATTATGTTTGCTCTTTTGCTATTAGTTTGATATTTAAAATAACTGAATTAGAATATACATTCTCTCTGATATACAGTATGTGTCGTTTTCTGAGAAGTGTTACATCATGCGTTATCAATGACCAAGAAGACAGCTTCTGATCAAAATATAATGTATTTATTTTATAAAATGAACATCAGAGATTAGAGGATGGTACAGTATAACATTACAGAGTAATTATTAGACAAACCACTAGCATTGACCCATGAAACAGATTAAGCTATACAAGACAAGGCAGATTCCAGGTCTTAGGATAGAAATAGAGTTACTAGAACATACATTATTCCCTTGAGTATACTGTTAAATTGCTGTCGTCTGAGGGGCTTTGTCCATTCTAGTCATCCTATTTCTATGGCTCCTATACAGTTTAGGAGGAAATGCGTCTACACAAGGGCTGCGTCTACAAGGCAGCCCAATTCTAATCTTATTTCCACTAATTGGTCTTTTGACCAATAATATCAGATTTTTTCACATCAGATTTTTTTCAAAGCTGTTTGATCAAAAGACCAATTAGTGAAAAAAAAGAGAGAATTGGGCTGCCTGTGTAAACACAGTCAGAGGCTAGAAGGGTACTTAAAGGGGAAATCAGCAGTTGAAACAATAAGAAAGTGTGCACTCCGCCCCTGTTTTTGTTAAAAGCTAAGGGGTTGAACATCCATGATATCAACGTTTTTTGAGGCTATATGATATTTGTTTACATTTACTTTGTTTACAAACATTGGAGTAAAAAAAGCTTCTATTTTGGGTTCTGATGGGGTACGACAGTTGAACTAAGCTCATGAGGCGTTCATAAGTTGTATTCTTAAATAATGAATGGGTACATATCATAAATGTATAAGTCCAATAATGGATGTAGCAACTGCTGATTGCCCCTTTAAGTTCAAATGTAAGTTTCCATTTCCGATCAGATAATAGTTCACTTCTTCCTGCCCCAACTAAACTCCAGCCCACCCAATATGAGTCATCACAGACAGGACATAGATCTGAGAAGTCTGAAACAAAAAATGTAAGCTGTCAGCAAGAGAGTGTTCAGATTTTTCTGACATATAAATGAACCCAAGCTGTTGTCACAACACCTCAATCTTTATGCTGTTACACGGTGAAAACCTCTCTAGCATCATATGGAGTTAATCTGGTGCTTATCATTGCTCTATAGTACTGCTATGTGGCTTTGTGGAGAACTTCTATGCCAACCAGTCAGGACCAGTTGATCTTTAAACTGTTGATTTTTTGAAAATGACAAATATTACAGTAAGCATGAGATGAGGAAGTAAGTGGTTGATGGCTGTAAATTATATATATATATATATATATATTTTTTATGTCTTGATCAGAGTAATCTAGATACTGGCTCCGACTTCCATTTTCTACACACCAATAATGAAGAACATACATGTAACAAAATATAAGACAACAACAACAGCTTTGCACAAACCACAAAAGTAATGCAGGTAACATTACAACCACTGGGCACAGACGGCAGTTCAATGTCTATTTTTGATTTACACTTGGTTGAGTTGTCAACTAACGTGAATTCAATGTGAAATCAACAAAAAAGTTCACAATATCATTGGATTTATGTTAAAAGAAAAAATATGAATTTCGCTTACGTTGATGACTTTTATCAAATCCAAATCAGTTTTCCATATTGATTCAATGTCATCACATTGAATTATTTTGTTCAAATCAAATCAAAAGCCCAAATCACGTGGAAACAACGTTGATTCAACCAGTTTTTGCCGAGTGTGTTATTACCAGTGATGTATATCAACCCTGGATTGCAGATGCTATGTATTGGCTAGTGAGAGGCATTGAAGCCACCAGTCAGCCATATTGGCACTCCCGAGAAGGAGGAGTCCTCCATAGGAATTCAACGGTATTTCAATTAAATGTTTATGAAAGGACAAAATTACATGTATTTAAGTATTTTTGTTGTTGTAAATGGGGTCAGCAACACGAGAACTTTCAAAAGAAATCACAGTTAAAGGAAAATATATATATTTATATATATATTTATGTTTAGCTCACATAATATAATTTAAAAGTATGAATTAAGATGGTTGTAATAGAATAAACGTGCTAAAACAAATGTAGACATTATTACATGCATTTCTATAGCTTCCAAATTATTTTTTACAATGGTGGGGAGTGCCAAGATGGAGGCATGTGGCTTCAACATAGCGCCCACTTTCAGTCATCCAGTGTATACTGTGAGGGAAAAAAGTATTTGATCCCCTGCTGATTTTGTATGTTTGCCCACTGACAAAGAAATGATCAGTCTATAATTTTAATGGTAGGTTTATTTGAACAGTGAGAGACAGAATAACAACAAAAAAATCCAGAAAAACACACGTGAAAAATGTTATACATTGATTTGCATTTTAATGAGGGAAATAAATATTTGACCCCCTCTCAATCAGAAAGATTTCTGGCTCCCAGGTGTCTTTTATACAGGTAACGAGCTGAGATTAGGAGCACACTCTTAAAGGGAGTGCTCCTAATCTCAGTTTGTTACCTGTATAAAAGACACCTGTCCACAGAAGCAATCAATCAATCAGATTCCAAACTCTCCACCATGGCCAGGACCAAAGAGCTCTCCAAGGATGTCAGGGACAAGATTGTAGACCTACACAAGACTGGAATGGGCTACAAGACCATCGGCAAGCAGCTTGGTGAGAAGGTGACAACAGTTGGTGCGATTATTCGCAAATGGAAGAAACACAAAATAACTGTCAATCTCCCTCGGCCTGGGGCTCCATGCAAGATCTCACCTCGTGGAGTTGCAATGATCATGAGAACGGTGAGGAATCAGCCCAGAACTACACGGGAGGATCTTGTCAATGATCTCAAGGCAGCTGGGACCATAGTCACCAAGAAAACAATTGGTAACACACTACGCCGTGAAGGACTGAAATCCTGCAGCGCCCGCAAGGTCCCCCTGCTTAAGAAAGCACATATACAGGCCCGTCTGAACTTTGGCATCAACTCAACTCGCCGTGTTTGGAGGAGAAGGAATGCTGCCTATGACCCCAAGAACACCATCCCCACCGTCAAACATGGAGGTGGAAACATTATGCTTTGGGGGTGTTTTTCTGCTAAGGGGACAGGACAACTTCACCACATCAAAGGGACGATGGACGGGGCCATGTACCGTCAAATCTTGGGTGAGAACCTCCTTCCCTCAGCCAGGGCATTGAAAATGGGTCGTGGATGGGTATTCCAGCATGACAATGACCCAAAACACACGGCCAAGGCAACAAAGGAGTGGCTCAGGAAGAAGCACATTAAGGTCCTGGAGTGGCCTAGCCAGTCTCCAGACCTTAATCCCATAGAAAATCTGTGGAGGGAGCTGAAGGTTCGAGTTGCCAAACGTCAGCCTCGAAACCTTAATGACTTGGAGAAGATCTGTAAAGAGGAGTGGGACAAAATCCCTCCTGAGATGTGTGCAAACCTGGTGGCCAACTACAAGAAACGTCTGATCTCTGTGATTGCCAACTAGGGTTTTGCCACCAAGTACTAAGCCATGTTTTGCAGAGGGGTCAAATACTTATTTCCCTGATTAAAATGCAAATCAATTTATAACATTTTTGACATGCGTTTTTCTGGATGTTTTTGTTGTTATTCTGTCTGTCACTGTTCAAATAAACCCACCATTCAAATTATAGACTGATCATGTCTTTGTCAGTGGGCAAACGTACAAAATCAGCAGGGGATCAAATACTTTTTTCCCTCACTGTATATAAATAATTGGTTATTACTTTGTTGCTTGTAAAATAAACACAATTTTGCAAAACAGATCATTCTCATTTTATTAATTCAACAAGTTATCATGTTTTGTGATCAAGTACCAGCATAAGAATTCATGTATTATTATTAAGATAAAGACAACACATGCCCTATCACCTAAGTATGCTGATTATGAATACGTCCCAGGAGAATTATCACCTGTTATCAGACATCCTCGCTGAAGACATTCTCAAATACTTTACGGAGAGAGACCTTGACAATCTCCTTGAAGTCCTGTCCGATGAACACGTACAGGATAGGGTTGAGGCAGCTGTTGACATAGGCCAGAGAGCGTCCCAGGGGCTACAGAGCCACCACTTCAAAGGACTCTAACCTATACAAAATCAAAAGAACTATGATGTGATACGGCAGCCAGCACACAAAGAATGCTGCCACCACACTCAGAATGACCTGTAAGACCCTCTGTGACTTGAAGCGACCTTTGCTCACCCTCCTGCCGATGAGCAGGTAGCAGACAGCGATGACCAACAGGGGAACGAGGAAGCCGAGGACCAGCCTGGAGAAAATGTTGGCTTGCATATGCGAGGAGAAGCTGAAGGAAGAACTGCAGCACCTAATTAAGTTGTCATCAATATTGATGGTCTGATTATGGATCATGTCGGGGAGACTGAGGAGCATGCCCAGGAACCAGGCCAGACCACACTGCAGCCACGCCAGTGTGATTTTCCGGTGGTTCTGGGCCCATACGGGCCGTATGACCAGGACAAAGCGGTCTAGGCTGATCAGAACCAGAGTGAAGACGCTGGCAAACATGTTGAGGTACATTACCGAGGGCATAACCTTGCACATAGCTTCTCCGAACGGCCAGTTGAGTTCCAGTTTGATCACAGCTATGCGGAAGGGTATGGAGAAACAGCAGAGGAGGTCTGCTACAGCCAGGTTTACAAACCAGACGGTGTTGACTGTCCTCTTCATCTTCACTCCAGCTATCCAGATGACAAAGACGTTGCCTGGGATACCGAGGATGCACACGATGCTGTAGATGACAATGGACACCACCCGAATGGGCTGATTTCCCTGCTCCAGTTGATGAGTTTCATTGACCATGTAATAATAGTCATCATAAAAGTAATCGTCGTACACCTCTGCGAAATCCTCGTTCATTTTGTACCTAGGGGAGGAATTGTTTGATACTTAATACACACAATTTTCTAATGTTATGTTTCAATTTAACTGAGCATAGCACTGAGTTTGATCAGTGAGGTCATTCTCAGAACCATTCATAATTAATGACAACAGCCTCACTTACATTTTACATTTTAGTCATTTAGCAGACGCTCTTATCCAGAGCGACTTACAGTTTTAGTGAGTGCATACATTTTTCTATATACCATGGGAGTATATTAACTGAATTTCAATTCAAATATTAGCACCTTCAATATATTCAGAATGTTGATCCTTAGTTTCTACAGTCATGAAAAAGAGGGGTGTCAAAAAGTAATACAAATAAATAAAACAAATCTGAAAATAGAATCACGGTATCCAAGTATGTTTTCCCAAGTCAATTATTTCAAAGGTGCTACACAAGAATTGTAGGCATACCTGAAATTTTAACAGAAAATGTGCATAAAACTTACGATCTCTCAGATCTTCTTTATTAACCGAGTAACAACAACTTAGTGACATCTGAAAAGTAATTTGTTGTCATTCGAATTTGTAATTTATAATGGAGTGTTGCAAGGATAGCACGTGATCGGAAGAGGCAAAATAGATGTGAGTACGTGACAAGATCAGCCAGTATGATAAATGTATGCACTCACTAACTGTAAGTCACTCTGGATGAGAGCGTATGCTAAATGACTAAAATGTCAAATGTAAAATATGACTCAAGAACTAGTTTTGAAAGTACCCACTGGGCAAACCACGTAATTTCAACGTGGATAATTGGGTAATACTTGGTCTAGATGTTGATCAATGAGATTACAACCTATATTCACCAACTCAAAAAGACGGGCAAAAGTTAGTTGAATTTCCAATGTGTTAACACTATTCTTTCATCGATGTAAAAGCACACCAAATTCCAATGGAAAAACAATGTCTGATTTTTGCTTTAGTTGCTTCTTTACAGTGCATTATGGAAGTATTCAGAATCCTTGACTTTTTCCACATTTTGTTCCGTTACAGCCTTATTCTACACTGGATTAAATTGTTTTCCCCCTCATCAATCTACACACAATACCCCATAATGACAAAGCAAAAACAGGTGTACAAATTAAATATTAATATTATAATTATTATTTAGGATGTCTGTTTTTTCCATTCATGTGAGAATATGCTAGACAAGGGAATTATGTTTGCTCTTTTGCTATTAGTTTGATGTTTAAAATAACTGAATTAGAATATACATTCTCTCTGATATACAGTATGTGTCGTTTTCTGAGAAGTGTGACATCATGCGTTATCAATGACCAAGAAGACTGCTTCTGATCAAAATATAATGTATTTATTTTATAAAATGAACATCAGAGATTAGAGGATGGTACAGTATAACATTACAGAGTAATTATTAGACAAACCACTAGCATTGACCCATGAAACAGATGAAGCTATACAAGACAAGGCAGATTCCAGGTCTAAGGATAGAAATAGAGTTACTAGAACATACATTATTCCCTTGAGTATACTGTTAAATTGCTGTTGTCTGAGGGGCTTTGTCCATTCTAGTCATCCTATTTCTATGGCTCCTATATTGTTTAGGAGGAAATGCGTCTACACAAGGGCTGCGTCTACAAGGCAGCCCAATTCTAATCTTATTTCCACTAATTGGTCTTTTGACCAATAATATCAGATTTTTTCACATCAGATTTTTTTCAAAGCTGATCATGTTTGATCAAAAGACCAATTAGTGAAAAAAAAGAGAGAATTGGGCTGCCTGTGTAAACACAGTCAGAGGCTAGAAGGGTACTTAAAGGGGAAATCAGCAGTTGAAACAATAAGAAAGTGTGCACTCCGCCCCTGTTTCTGTTAAAAGCTAAGGGGTTGAACATCCATGATATCAACGTTTTTTGAGGCTATATGATATTTGTTTACATTTACTTTGTTTACAAACATTGGAGTAAAAAAAGCTTCTATTTTGGGTTCTGATGGGGTACGACAGTTGAACTAAGCTCATGAGGCGTTCATAAGTTGTATTCTTAAATAATCCATGGGTACATATCATAAATGTATAAGTCCAATAATGGATGTAGCAACTGCTGATTGCCCCTTTAAGTTCAAATTTAAGTTTCCATTTCCGATCAGATAATAGTTCACTTCTTCCTGCCCCAACTAAACTCCAGCCCACCCAATATGAGTCATCACAGACAGGACATAGATCTGAGAAGTCTGAAACAAAAAATGTAAGCTGTCAGCAAGAGAGTGTTCAGATTTTTCTGACGTATCAATGAACCCAAGCTGTTGTCACAACACTTCAATCTTTATGCTGTTACACGGTGAAAACCTCTCTAGCATCATATGGGGTTAGTCTGATGCTTATCATTGCTCTATAGTACTGCTATGTGGCTTTGTGGAGAACTTCTATGCCAACCAGTCAGGACCAGTTGATCTTTAAACTGTTGATTTTTTGAAAATGACAAATATTACAGTAAGCATGAGATGAGGAAGTAAGTGGTTGATGGCTGTAAATTATATATATATATTTTTTTTATGTCTTGATCAGAGTAATCTAGATACTGGCTCCGACTTCCATTTTCTACACACCAATAATGAAGAACATACATGTAATAAAATATAAGACAACAACAACAGCTTTGCACAAACCACAAAAGTAATGCAGGTAACATTACAACCACTGGGCACAGACGACAGTTCAATGTCTATTTTTGATTTACATTTGGTTGAGTTGTCAACTAACGTGAATTCAATGTGAAATCAACAAAAAAGTTCACAATATCATTGGATTTATGTTAAAATAAAAAATATGAATTTCGCTTACGTTGATGACTTTTATCAAATCCAAATCAGTTTTCCATATTGATTCAATGTCATCACATTGAATTATTTTGTTCAAATCAAATGTATTTTTTATTTTATTAGTCACATGCGCCGAATAAAACAGGTTTAGATCTTACCGTGAAATGATTACTTACAAGCCCAAATCACGTGGAAACAACGTTGATTCAACCAGTTTTTGCCGTGTGGGTTATTACCAGTGATGTATATCAACCCTGGATTGCAGATGCTATGTATTGGCTAGTGAGAGGCATTGAAGCCACCAGTCAGCCATATTGGCACTCCCGAGAAGGAGGAGTCCTCCATTGGAATTCAACGGTATTTCAATTAAATGTTTATTAAAGGACAAAATTACATGTATTTAATTATTTTTGTTGTTGTAAATGGGGACAGTAACACGAGAACTTTCAAAAGAAATCACAGTTAAAGGAAAATATATATATATTTATATATATATTTATGTTTAGCTCACATAATATAATTTAAAAGTATGAATTAAGATGGTTGTAATGGAATAAACATGCCAAAACAAATGTAGACATTATTACATGCATTTCTATAGCTTCCAAAATATTTTTTACAATGGTAGGGAGTGCCAAGATGGAGGCATGTGGCTTCAACATAGCGCCCCCTTTCAGTCATCCAGTGTATACTGTGAGGGAAAAAAGTATTTGATCCCCTGCTGATTTTGTATGTTTGCCCACTGACAAAGAAATGATCAGTCTATAATTTTAATGGTAGGTTTATTTGAACAGTGAGAGACAGAATAACAACAAAAAAATCCAGAAAAACACACGTGAAAAATGTTATACATTGATTTGCATTTTAATGAGGGGAATAAGTATTTGACCCCCTCTCAATCAGAAAGATTTCTGGCTCCCGGGTGTCTTTTATACAGGTAACGAGCTGAGATTAGGAGCAAACTCTTAAAGGGAGTGCTCCTAATCTCAGTTTGTTACCTGTATAAAAGACACCTGTCCACAGAAGCAATCAATCAATCAGATTCCAAACTCTCCACCATGGCCAGGACCAAAGAGCTCTCCAAGGATGTCAGGGACAAGATTGTAGACCTACACAAGACTGGAATGGGCTACAAGACCATCGGCAATCAGCTTGGTGAGAAGGTGACAATAGTTGGTGCGATTATTCGCAAATGGAAGAAACACAAAATAACTGTCAATCTCCCTCGGCCTGGGGCTCCATGCAAGATCTCACCTCGTGGAGTTGCAATGATCATGAGAACGGTGAGGAATCAGCCCAGAACTACACGGGAGGATCTTGTCAATGATCTCAAGGCAGCTGGGACCATAGTCACCAAGAAAACAATTGGTAACACACTACGCCGTGAAGGACTGTAATCCTGCAGCGCCCGCAATGTCCCCCTGCTCAAGAAAGCACATATACAGGCCCGTCTGAACTTTGCCAATGAACATCTGAATGATTCAGAGGAGAACTGGGTGAAAGTGTTGTGGTCAGATGAGACCAAAATCGAGCTCTTTGGCATCAACTCAACTCGCCGTGTTTGGAGGAGGAGGAATGCTGCCTATGACCCCAAGAACACCATCCCCACCGTCAAACATGGAGGTGGAAACATTATGCTTTGGGGGTGTTTTTCTGCTAAGGGGACAGGACAACTTCACCACATCAAAGGGACGATGGACGATGGACGGTCAAATCTTGGGTGAGAACCTCCTTCCCTCAGCCAGGGCATTGAAAATGGGTCGTGGATGGGTATTCCAGCATGACAATGACCCAAAACACACGGCCAAGGCAACAAAGGAGCGGCTCAAGAAGAAGCACATTAAGGTCCTGGAGTGGCCTAGCCAGTCTCCAGACCTTAATCCCATAGAAAATCTGTGGAGGGAGCTGAAGGTTCGAGTTGCCAAACGTCAGCCTCGAAACCTTAATGACTTGGAGAAGATCCCTCCTGAGATGTGTGCAAACCTGGTGGCCAACTACAAGAAACGTCTGACCTCTGTGATTGCCAACAAGGGTTTTGCCACCAAGTACTAAGTCATGTTTTGCAGAGGGGTCAAATACTTATTTCCCTCATTAAAATGCAAATCAATTTATAACATTCTTGACATGCGTTTTTCTTGATTTCTGATTTCTGTCTCTCACTGTTCAAATAAACCTACCATTCAAATTATAGACTGATCATGTCTTTGTCAGTGGGCAAACATACAAAATCAGCAGGGGATCAAATACTTTTTTCCCTCACTGTATATAAATAATTGGTTATTACTTTGTTGCTTGTAAAATAAACACAATTTTGCAAAACAGATCATTCTCATTTTATTAATTCAACAAGTTATCATGTTTTGTGATCAAGTACCAGCATAAGAATTCATGTATTATTATTAAGATAAAGACAACACATGCCCTATCACCTAAGTATGCTGATTATGAATACGTCCCAGGAGAATTATCACCCGTTATCAGACATCCTCGCTGAAGACATTCTCAAATACTTTACGGAGAGAGACCTTGACAATCTCCTTGAAGTCCTGTCCGACGAACACGTACAGGATAGGGTTGAGGCAGCTGTTGACATAGGCCAGAGAGCGTCCCAGGGGGTACAGAGCCACCACTTCAAAGGACTCAAACCTATACAAAAGCAAAATAACTATGATGTGATACGGCAGCCAGCACACAAAGAATGCTGCCACCACGCTCAGAATGACCTGTAAGACCCTCTGTGACTTGAAGCGACCTCTGCTCACCCTCCTCCCGATGAGCAGGTAGCAGACAGCGATGACCAACAGGGGAACGAGGAAGCCGAGGACCAGCCTGGAGAAAATTTTGGCATGCATATGCGAGGAAGAACTGCCGCACCTAATTAAGTTGTCATCAATGTTGATGGTCTGATTATGGATCATGTCGGGGAGACTGAGGAGCATGGCCAGGAACCAGGCCAGACCACACTGCAGCCACGCCAGTGTGATTTTCCGGTGGTTCTGGGCCCATACGGGCCGTATGACCAGGACAAAGCGGTCTAGGCTGATCAGAACCAGAGTGAAGACGCTGGCGAACATGTTGAGGTACATTACCGAGGGCATAACCTTGCACATAGCCTCTCCGAACGGCCAGTTGAGTTCCAGTTTGATCACAGCTATGCGGAAGGGTATGGAGAAACAGCAGAGGAGGTCTGCTACAGCCAGGTTTACAAACCAGACGGTGTTGACTGTCCTCTTCATCTTCACTCCAGCTATCCAGATGACAAAGGCGTTGCCTGGGATACCGAGGATGCACACGATGCTGTAGATGACAATGGACACCACCCAAATGGGCTGATTTCCCTGCTCCGGTTGATGAGTTTCATTGAACATGTAATTATAGTCATCATAATAGTAATCGTCGGACACCTCTGCGAAATCCTCGTTCATTTTGTACCTAGGGGAGGAATTGTTTGATACTTAATACACACAATTTTCAAACGTTATGTTTCAATTTAACTGAGCATAGCACTGAGTTTTATCAGTGAGGTCATTCTCAGAACCATTCATAATTAATGACAACAGTCTCACTTACATTTTACATTTTAGTCATTTAGCAGACGCTCTTATCCAGAGCGACTTACAGTTTTATTGAGTGCATACATTTTTCTATATACCATGGGAGTATATTAACTGAATTTCAATTCAAATATTAGCACCTTCAATATATTCAGAATGTTGATCCTTAGTTTCTACAGTCATGAAAAAGAGGGGTGTCAAAAAGTAATACAAATAAATAAAACAAATCTGAAAATAGAATCACGGTATCCAAGTATGTTTTCCCAAGTCAATTATTTCAAAGGTGCTACACAAGAATTGTAGGCATACCTGAAATTTTAACAGAAAATGTGCATAAAACTTACCCCATCTCTCAGATCTTCTTTATTAACCGAGTAACAACAACAACTTAGTGACATCTGAAGTAATTTGTTGTCATTCGAATTTGTAATTTATAATGGAGTGTTGCAAGGATAGCACCTGATCGGAAGAGGCAAAATAGATGTGAGTACGTGACAAGATCAGCCAGTATGATAAATGTATGCACTCACTAACTGTAAGTCACTCTGGATGAGAGCGTCTGCTAAATGACTAAAATGTCAAATGTAAAATATGACTCAAGAACTAGTTTTGAAAGTACCCACTGGGCAAACCACGTAATTTCAACGTGGATAATTGGGTAATACTTGGTCTTTTTTTTTTTTTTTTTTGAATATTTTTTCTTCAAAAAAAATTTCTCCATTTTTTTAAAAATATTTTTATTTTTATTTTAATTTTTTTAAAATAAATGCACTGTTGGTTAAGGGCTGTAAGTAAGCATTTCACTGTAATGTCTGCACCTTGTCACGATCGTCTAAGGAAAAGGACCAAGGCACAGCGTTGAATGTGAACATATTTATTTAATTTGATGATCACACGATCAAAACAACAAAAGGACGACGTGATAGTCAATGGTCATACACTAACCAAAATACGAACAAGAAACCACAAACACAAAGTGAAAGACAGACAGTTAAATATGGCTCCCAATCAGAGACAACCAGCTGACACTCGTTGCCTCTGATTGGGAGTCACTCAGGCCAACATAGAAATACAAACATAGAATTACACACCCTGGCTCAACATAACAGTGTCCCCAGAGCCAGGGCGTGACAGTACCCCCCCCTAAAGGCGCGGACTCCGACCGCGCCAACCAAACACAACAGGGGAGGGACCGGGTGGGCACTCCGCCTAGGCGGCGGATCCGGCTCCGGACATGACCCCCACTCCTTCTCTAACCCCCCAAAGTACCCCTGGTCCGGTCTGGCCCTGCTGACCAGAGCTGAACTGAACACTGGTGGAGCGGATTGCTCTAGCTCCGGCGTGACGCAGCACCTGACCGGTGCCGGACCCGCCACCGGTGGAACAGGCACGGGCCGTGCCGGACTGACGACGCACACCACTGTCTTGGTGTGGGGAGCAGGAGCGGAGAAGCGCACCACTGACTTGGTGCGGGGAGCTTGGATGGGCCGGACTGGGCTGGCGACGCGCACCACAGACTTGGTGCGGAGAGCAGGAACGGGCCGGACAGGGCTGACGAAACGCACCACAGACTTGGTGCGGGGAGCAGGAATGGGCCGGACTGGGCTGGCGACGCGCACCACAGACTTGGTGCGGGGAGCAGGAATGGGCCGGGCCGAGCTGGCGATGCGCACCGTAGACTTGGTGCGAGTGGCAGGAACAGGCCGGACCGTACTGGGAACACACACCACTGGCCCTACGTGGGGATCAGGAACAGGCCGGACCGGACTGGCAACACACGCCAGTACCTCTCGCCGTGCCTCTATATCTTCCACCCCCTCTTCGACCAGTGGCCCCCGTAACCTGGCGGCCTCCTCTGCCAATCCACTGGGCCGCTCTGCCGCGGTCTCCTGCTGGCCCGTCGTCCACGGCGTTAGCCCCCCCCTAAAAAATTTCTGGGCGTTTCTCCTACCCGTGGACCAGGTCTCCATGTCCCTCGCCAGCCTTTCGCCCTTCTGCCACAACGTCAAGCCCTTCTCTTCCTCACTCGGCTTGACCCAGTCGAGGAGGCGAAGGAGATCTGTTAGGGATCTCCCTGGCGATGGCTCCTGGACACGCTGCTTGGTCACATCTTGGTGGTTTCTTCTGTCACGATCGTCTAAGGAAAAGGACCAAGGCGCAGCGTTGAATGTGAACATATTTATTTAATTTGATGATCACACGATCAAAACAACAAAAGGACGACGTGATAGTCAATGGTCATACACTAACCAAAATACGAACAAGAAACCACAAACACAAAGTGAAAGACAGACAGTTAAATATGGCTCCCAATCAGAGACAACCAGCTGACACTCGTTGCCTCTGATTGGGAGTCACTCAGGCCAACATAGAAATACAAACATAGAATTACACACCCTGGCTCAACATAACAGTGTCCCCAGAGCCAGGGCGTGACACACCTGTTGTATTCGGCGCATGTGACCAATAAAATTTGATTTGATTTTGATTTGATTAGATGTTGATCAATGAGATTACAACCTATATTCACCATAGCATGTGATCGGAAGAGGCAAAATAGATGTGAGTACATGACAAGATCAGCCAGTATGATAAATGTATGCACTCACTAACTGTAAGTCACTCTGGATGAGAGCGTCTGCTAAATGACTAAAATGTCAAATGTAAAATATGACACAAGAACTAGTTTTGAAAGTACCCACTGGGCAAACCACGTAATTTCAACGTGGATAATTGGGTAATACTTGGTCTAGATGTTGATCAATGAGATTACAACCTATATTCACCAACTCAAAAAGACGGGCAAAAGTTAGTTGAATTTCCAATGTGTTAACACTATTCTTTCATCGATGTAAAAGCACACCAAATTCCAATGGAAAAACAATGTCTGATTTTTGCTTTAGTTGCTTCTTTACAGTGCATTATGGAAGTATTCAGAATCCTTGACTTTTTCCACATTTTGTTACGTTACAGCCTTATTCTACAATGGATTAAATTGTTTTCCCCCTCATCAATCTACACACAATACCCCATAATGACAAAGCAAAAACAGGTGTACAAATTAAATATTAATATTATAATTATTATTTAGGATGTCTGTTTTTTCCATTCATGTGAGAATATGCTAGACAAGGGAATTATGTTTGCTCTTTTGCTATTAGTTTGATGTTTAAAATAACTGAATTAGAATATACATTCTCTCTGATATACAGTATGTGTCGTTTTCTGAGAAGTGTGACATCATGCGTTATCAATGACCAAGAAGACTGCTTCTGATCAAAATATAATGTATTTATTTTATAAAATGAACATCAGATATTAGAGGATGGTACAGTATAACATTACAGAGTAATTATTAGACAAACCACTAGCAATGACCCATGAAACAGATGAAGCTATACAAGACAAGGCAGATTCCAGGTCTAAGGATAGAAATAGAGTTACTAGAACATACATTATTCCCTTGAGTATACTGTTAAATTGCTGTTGTCTGAGGGGCTTTGTCCATTCTAGTCATCCTATTTCTATGGCTCCTATATTGTTTAGGAGGAAATGCGTCTACACAAGGGCTGCGTCTACAAGGCAGCCCAATTCTAATCTTATTTCCACTAATTGGTCTTTTGACCAATAATATCAGATTTTTTCACATCAGATTTTTTTCAAAGCTGATCATGTTTGATCAAAAGACCAATTAGTGAAAAAAAAGAGAGAATTGGGCTGCCTGTGTAAACACAGTCAGAGGCTAGAAGGGTACTTAAAGGGGAAATCAGCAGTTGAAACAATAAGAAAGTGTGCACTCCGCCCCTGTTTCTGTTAAAAGCTAAGGGGTTGAACATCCATGATATCAACGTTTTTTGAGGCTATATGATATTTGTTTACATTTACTTTGTTTACAAACATTGGAGTAAAAAAAGCTTCTATTTTGGGTTCTGATGGGGTACGACAGTTGAACTAAGCTCATGAGGCGTTCATAAGTTGTATTCTTAAATAATCAATGGGTACATATTGTCACGGTTTCGGCCGAGGCTGCTCCTTCTCCTTGTTCGGGCAGGCTTCGGCGGTCGTCGTCTCCGGAGTACTAGCTGCCACCGTTCTATGTTTCATGTTCGTTTGGTTTTGTCTCTTTGTAACACCTGTCCCTTGTTTGTGTTTGATTGTGTTCCCTATTTAGTTTCGTTTGTTTGGGTCAGGTGTTATGCGTGATTGTTATTGTCAGCCTGCCTCCGAGGAGTTTGTATCTCTCGTTGTTGTATTTTTCGAGAGTTCGCACTGCGTGCGCTTTTCTGGTTTTTTCCGCACTGTGTTTGTGCGTAATTGTTCGCGCCGCCCGGTTGGGTTGGCGACTCATTTTTCCTGTGTTGGACCTTACTAAAGTCTGTTGAAGTCATCCTTGTTCCTGCGCTTGATTCCTTTCACTCTTCCACACACAGCACTCTGACAGAATCACGCATCATTCCATGGAATCAGCAGGAGCGACCGCGCCAACAGCAGGTATGGAGGAACGTCTTCGTGGGCAGGAGGACCGGATTAACCAGGTCTGTCATGCCCTGGATGGGGTGATGAACACTCTCCACCGATGGGAAACCAGCGGGGTACCCACGACCCCACCTACCGAACCATCCCCATCGGTCAGTCCTCCTGTCCCATCTCCGGAACCCAGTGGGATTCGGCTCTCGCTCCCGAGGGCGTACGACGGCTCCGCTGCCGGGTGTCAAGGGTTCCTGCTGCAAGTGGAGCTCTACCTCGCCACCGTACACCCGGCGCCCTCGGGACACAGGAGCGTCTCAGCCCTCATCTCCTGTCTCACCGGCAAGGCGTTGGAGTGGGCCAACGCCGAATGGAGGAGAATGGACGCCGCTACCACTACCTAT